TGGTAAGAGCTCAATACTGAAATCAATCTTACGCGCTGGTGGAAGCCCTGTTAAGTCATTAAGGAACACTTTTGGATATCCTCTTAACACCAGAATATCACTCAAAGATTGTACTTTCTTAGAAGTATCTACTACTTGAGCAAGAAAACCTTAACTTCCACTATTCAACAATTTGTAAATCTTCAAGCATGTAATTATCATAGATGAACCCTCTATCATATAAAAATTTAACTTCTGCCCCATCATGTACATTTATCTTGATAGTCTTCTTATTACAATCAATAGTGATAGTTTTCAAACATTCAATCCATACCTAGAATCACATCGAATTCCATCAAGGGCAACATAATAAGTTGAGATTAAATCTCTTTTCACCAATCATAAGCACCACCTCACATGATTGATCAATTTCAATAAAACACCATTTGACATTCTAACTGAGAGTATCAAAAGCATTGAAATGATATTTATTCACATCATTTTATCCAGTTCATCAGCTATAAATGGGTGTGATGCTCCTAAATCAAATAATAATCTTATCGATCTACTCTGAAGATATATAATACATATCATTAAACCATCGCTTTAATCATTTAAAGTTAGGTTATTAATACTTAAATTCTTACTTGTTTTAAGTATGACGTGACATGAATCCTATGATGCTTAAAGTGCACTGGTTAAAATTGTTAAGAGAAACATACTCACGATAACGTCAGAAGAGTCCTTAGTTTTCTGCTGTGAAAGAGCATATACTATGGGCTAATTCTGCTGAGGTTGACCTATAGTTGGCACTGACCCTAAAGATTCAGGTGCCCTCACTCTACCATGGCTCCTCTGAGGTGGTGGAGTACTGCCCCTCGAATTTTTGAGGTCTTCTGACACAATTTTGGCAATTCTTCATCATATGTCATGCCTGGCGACACCAAAAACAAGTGTTGGATCCAAATAGACACTGACCTTAGTGAGACCTTCCACACTTGTCACACTTTTTCACTTCAAATTGAGTGCCAACGTTGTCGGATTTAGCCTTCTTAGTACTTGTAATAACTGACTGAAAGGACTGCATGCTCCGAGAACCCTGAGGAAACTTGTATCCCTTTAAATTTCTTCTCTTCTGAATGACCCTCCTCTTCTAAGAAGACTCTAGATCCAGCTCAATCCTCCTAACTCTCTCCATGAGAATAAAGTAATCATCGATTCCAAGAGGAATCAATGACAGACTAATCACAACTCTGAACCCAAACAAAAATCAGTGGCACTTCTCCACTGCATTAGGAATCAACTGAGGTGCATACCTAGAGAGCATGGTGAATTCTACCTTGTACTCTATTATTGAGCGATCACCCTATAGTAACCGAATAAACTTCTCATGCATCTATCTCTAGGCAGACAATGGTACGAACCAGTCTCTAAAGGTGGTCACAAACTCACCTCATTAAATCATGTGACTTGCTATAATACCAAATTTCACTTGCAACTATCCATGCCACCATCTCTTAGCTTCTCCCTCCAGAGAAAATGTAGCCAGAGTAACCATCCTCTCTAGAGGACAAGAAAACCCATCTAAGATTTTCTCTATCCTCAACAACTAATTTTAAATATCCACCAAACCTCCAACTATAGAAAAGAGATATGATCTCATATCATAAAATTCTTCTAAGAATTTATCCATCTGAGCTCCTCCGCTAGAACTTACTTGAGCCTGAGAGCTTTTAATCAACTATGTTACTGCAATCATCATCTCAGTAAATGCATCAGTATTCACAGTAATCTGCGTGGTTGCATCAACTTCTACAATATCATCTCTAGCTTTGTCCACCTGAATTTTCATATTATTAAAATAATATAAGAAATATTAAAATTAAATACAACTTGATTCTTTATCAATATTACTTGTGAATTAAAATAATCATCTTAATGATACTTTTAAATCATGATCAAACCTAATTGTTTTGATATCACTTTTGTCATGACCCGACCCATTGCTTAAAATTAACTAAGGCGAGTACTGCGGTCGAATAATGTTAGCAGCCAACTATTCACATTTTAAAAACTTTCAATATATACAAAAAGCTGTTAATAATCCAGATGTACAATCAGGAAATTTAAATCATCTAACAATGATAGAAAATCTGCAAGTAAATTTTCAATCCACACAACCAGATAGGTTTATCCTAAAGAAATAATACAAAAATAAATTACAAACATATCATACATGCACATATTAGCTGCAGTCCTCTTGTAAACCAAGTATTTATTACCAGACATATCAAGCTAAAACTTTCTTTCTCTTGAAAGAAAATATTAATTACAATCGCAAGTATGATTCAGTGAGTAATTATAATTTAATATGCAATAAATTTTTATGTTATGCTGTGCAAGATTGTTCAAATGAAAATACAGTTCATTTCATTAAAACCTTAAATTTAAAAATGTCTCATCATAACATGATTACCATCATACTTGAAGGTATCCTAAATTTGATAAGAATCTTATTCTTAGAAGAAATACTTAATATATCTAATGACATACAACTAAAATGACACATAAGTAGTTACACAACTTCTCACCTTAAAAGTTTGATTTGCTTCCATGCACAAAACTCCCCTTTTCCTTTTACAACTTTAACTGATTCGGCCTCTAATTTGCTACTTTTTATATCTGCTTAATATAAATGTGTCATTAACACTAGTAAGTAAACTAATAATTTCAATTTAAGCAAATTTACATCATAAAACATTAAATACCCAGAAGATTTGATTCTTACAGTTCACACATAAAAGCCCAATTTCACGTACGAGTCAACTTCCTTCTCCTTGGCATCACAATCTTCCACTTATTATGGCTATTTCAAGTAATTTTATTATAGCACATTAATTAATTAAATTCACACTCATAAACATCTTAAACTTACCTTGAGGCCTCGAACGACTGCCATAACCCTCGCATGAGCTCAGTAGCAGCAGTAATAGGGACCTTTTTACACACGAGGCTCACAAACCTCCTTTCTCTTTGTCTACGCAAGCACAATGCCAAAGCCATTCAACTAGGGCTCGACTTCTAGCTGCACACAGAGATCAGTAGGGAGACCTCTTGAACTTCCTCACGACAGAGCCACAAGTCACCTCTTCCTTCTTATTCCTCCGACTTCGGCTAGCCCCAATAGGACACACGCTTTTCTTCTTCTTCCTAGCTTCAACTGTGACTTGTCCAACACCGTAAATCCTCGATAATGTCGCTTCCCTTCAACATAGGTAGGATGTCGAACCAAGTAAGAGACGCACAAACTTCTTTTTCTTTTTCTCCCTTTTTCTCTCAAACTGTTCGACACAACACAATAGCCACAACTTTCTTCTTCCTTCTTCTCTCACACAGTTCGGCACGACAGTTTCCTCTCTCGATCTCTCCCCTTATCTCTCGCTAGCTCTTCCTCGAGTGAAGATATCTGTGAAAGAACATATGTTATGATTCATTGCAATGTTCTAACCATGACACTCATTATAATTATAATAATAATAATTATTATTATTATTTTCTGTTATAACACAATGGGGCCCAACAACCATTGAAATTTATCCTTTAAATAATTCATCTTAAGCATTATTATGCTATCAATCATAGATTAGTCCCAAATCATGTAGCAATGGTGAAGAACCTGCATTTTGCATCTAATAAGATCCACTAATAGATCAATACTCCCCTTCAAATTAGAGTATATATATATAGCTTCAAACTTCTACTCAATGATCGAAGACATGTAATTTAAGCGTTTTAATAAAAGTTTGGCACTCCTTCAAATCTTAAAAGTATGAGTACCAATTTAATAAATGTTACAACATGACTGAAGCAAAAATCTAATTCAACATGTTTAATAAGTTTAACATTGTTGGTGATGTAGAAAACATTACTACAACAATATAATGCTATTGGTGGATAGAGAAAAAAAATTCTTTTGTATGGATTTTTACTCACATAAGTTCACACATAAAATATATGCTCCTCATAAATAAATAATATTCTAAGGTTCACATTTATCTTCTATTGAGCTACTATAATCATCACAGAATAGTTGACATTTAAGTGCTCAATTTTAATGTGTAGCAACATCTAAAAGATTACTTAACATACTTGAGGATTGAAAAACTACTTTTCCAAAGGTCCTTTTTAAATATTTGCATGTGTTGATTTACTACAAAAACAAATCATATATCTAATTCAACAAACAGAATGGGTTTTTGAGTAAAATGTCATCAATATATATTGCTAAGATAACAAACCAATATGAAGTATTTCCAACAAAGATGAAGTGATGCATAGTATTACTTCAAAGCTAACCTTAGCAAGAACTTGACAAATCTTACGAAACCAAACTTAACAATTTTATTTTAGGCAATAAATGACTATATTTACAAACCTCAGTCACCCCCTTAACAAAATAAGATTTCTCTATATACACAATTTCAGCAAGATCACATCCATCTACAAAAGAAACTTGTCTTGATTGATAGAAATAGAATACATAAGATAAATTAAGCTTAACAATAAACGAGGTGTCAATATGGCCAATCTCATAAATTTGATAAAACATTTGGCAATTAAACCCAATAATAGGTGTGTGTGAGGAAAAATGCGTGCTTGCGTGCGGTGACCGATCCGGACCGTAGATCACCTGATCTACGGTCCCGATGTATTTCGGTGGGTCCCACTGAATTTTTTTTTCTTTTTTTTTTAAATGGAAATAATCCTGACCGTAGATCACCGTGATCTACGGTCAGGATCGGGCACCGCATACAGAGATGCATGCGGTGTCCGTACGCAATAATTCCTCGTGTGTGAGAGAGAGAGGGAGGGAGGGAGGGAGGGAGGGACGGAGGAGGTGGGGAGTGAGCAGTTGGCGACAAGTTATTTAAAGGCATGTAGGTGTAACCCCTCAGATACAATGCTAGAGAAAATAAATAAACTTATGTCTTTATTGAATAAGATTGAAAAACAGAAACAAATAAAAACGATTAATATCCCAAACTATATAGCTTAAAAGGATACCTTTCAATACAATTACCTGTGAAATGTGTCGGAAGTTATCTAAAACAACAAAAAAGCAATAAAAGAAAAAAATAAAATAAAAACAGGATTTGAGATCATGAACAATTCATCTGTTGTCATATCAGCAATTTGTTCCAGGGCTTTGATTTGATCTTGGAAAACTGACCATCAGTGAAAAATGCCTGGACATGGTAGCTTGTTATGGGCAAACTTGAGTTTCAACGTAAAGGCAGCTTGAACATGGTATAGAATGGAACTTACCGTTTCCTTTGATGCATTTTTATAGCAAGAAAGCATTCCAAGTATACAACCACAAAAACTTCTCTAGTAAAACTGTTAAAAGTTAGTGGTTGCGATCACTGGCCTCTGCTTTGCATAGGGGAATTAAGTGACAATTCAATTTCCTCAAGCGAACGTCCCTTTGTTTCAACTATGAAACAGGCAGCAAAAATTGCTGAACAGATGGAAACAGCACCAAATACACCATACACAGCTGCTACTCCAAATTTCTCCACTAGTTCAAGGAAATACAGTCCCACCAAGAAGTTAAAGATCTGTAATAAATAAAATAGTTGAAGAGTGAGAATGGGAGGGCTAGAACTCATCGTTATCAGGGAGGATAACTCTGCGAATAGAATATTACCTACTTTCAGCTAACTGCTAAATAAAAGAAAGCTAATTTTACATATGAGATTTCTCTTTCATGACTTTTCAAATTTCTAGTGCATTGAATAGGTGTGATTAATTAAAAGCATTTAGGTGGATGAATGAATATAGAGAATGTTCAAATTGTCCTATCCTAGCGACATTGACTTGAAGCCATCTTAAAGAAAGTACTGGATGTAATAGGTGACAAAACATTTGGTGAATTCAAGAAACCTACAATCTTTGAAGTAAATTATCAATATGAAAATTTCAATTCCACTAAAAAACTTCCGTTCTTTCATGTTTTTTAAGCCCTTAAATCAAAATATTGATTTATGCAGTAAGCTTTCTGCAAACAGTTCTATAATACGTGGGCATCTTCATCCTGCTTTGTCACCGAAATACACAGGAGAGTAACCTTTCAGATTTTTCTGAAAGTTGTTGTGGCAACTTCAGCTTCACTTAGTAAAGTTGCATTGTTTTGTGTGATACAAAAGTTAGCATCATTCTTCAAAAAAGAAAAATCATCATTAGTATTAGATCCCTTAAATAAAAGAGAGCTATTAAGTATCAATGAATCTTTTGTAATAACAATTACTGTTTCTTCAAGAACTCCAAAGATAAGCATATTTGTGCTACAACACACCTAGCATAAATGACATTCCAGAGAAGTTGCTAAAAAGAAAAACAACAACAGCAACAACTAAGACTATCAGATTTATAACGGCAATCTCTAGCCGTTATTATGTATTATTAGTTTTTATTCCCTCATTATGAATTTTCTATTTGTTTTATCCTGTTTTATTTATTTTGTTTATTATGTCTATAATGATTGCGTTTAAATACCCATTGTTCTATCAATAACATTAAGCTATTCTATTTCAAAATTCAACATTGTATTAGAGTCGGGTTCTAACCCCCAGAACCAAGCCACCAAATGCCTCTGCAGCAACCGCCGGCCTCCTTCGACTGTCTCCTACAGCTGCCAACCTCCTCTTACTGTCTCCTACAGCCGCTGGTCTCTCCTGCAGCAACTGATTTCCCCTACACCCACCGGTCTCCTCTACAACAGGTCTTGCACAGCTGTCGGGTTCCTCCCAGCAGGGACAGATTCTTCTGTGGGTCCTCCCTTTTTTCCCGGCATCGGTTCTCTCCTGCAGCAGTCCAGCCTTCCCTGCATTTCTCCAGCATCTTTGCCTTTTTTTCCCTTTTTTTCCCGACATCAGTTCTCTCCTGCAGCAGTCCGGCCTTCCCCGCAATTTTAGCTGGCTTCCCTACAACTCTCCTGCATCCTTCCTGCTGTCTTCTTGTAACTTCCCTGCAGCCTTCTGCAGCTTTCCTACATCCTTCCTGCAGCCTTCTTACATCTTCTCTGCAGTTATCCGCCTGCCGGTGACTTACAAATCAGTCGATATCTCAGAATCCCAGCCACTGACTTGGTCGAAATCATGGCAGACTCCTGCAACAATGAGCCAATTTCCGAAAGTGTTCTGGATTCTACCGGAGGATCGAATCCAACCACCGTTCCCCTACAAACCGGAGGACCAAAAAGCAGCATGAACTTCTTGATCACGACTCATAAACTAAATGACAGTAACTTTCTCCAATGGTCCCAAGCGGTGTCTTTGTTCATTAAAGGACTCGGGAAATTTCGTTATCTCACTGGTACGATCTGTGAACCTCCAAAGACTGATCCGACACATGGAGTTTGAGAAGTGGAGAACTCTATGGTCATGTCGTGGTTGATTAACTCCATGAAATTGTCGATTGGCCGTTCATATATGTTCCTCTCGTTCGCTAGTACCCTCTGGATGGCGGCTCGTGATACCTATTCGGACGGACTAAACTCCAGCCAACTCTATGAGGTACAAAGAAGATCTGAGAGGCACTTCAGCGATCAAAAACAGTGACCCAATACTACAATTACCCGCTTACAGTTTGGATGGAATGTTATCTGTACTATAACTACACTGGGAAATCATTGACAGACTTTTCTCTTTTTTAGAAAATTATAGAAAAATATCACATGTTGTAATTCCTGACAAGCCTCAACAAAGATCTTGATGAAGTCCGGGTTCGTACTCTTGGTCGGAATCCTTCAGCTCGTGCTTCTTTCACTGAAATTTGTTGGGAAGAGAGCAGGAGACTTGTCATGCTCGACACTTCTACTCCTTTAGTCGAATTGTCCACCTTGATCTCAAATAGTGCTCAACCCTCATCCATGCTGTGATTACTGGCATACCCCCAACCACGCTCACGACAAGTGTTGGAAATTTCACAGTAAACAAACAAACAAATCTTCGGCCAAATCCTCTCTTACCAAGGGTCTCACGGCGACTTCCAAGTCTACCACGGCTTAACCGACTCCCATTTCAAAAATACCAGAATCCTCTGAATCCCTGAAAAACCAGATGGAGCAGTTGATCAAACTTCTTGGAGCCAATCAACTGCAGGTCCGTCGACCTCCCACGTCCGACAAGGTACTCTTCCTATGATTCTCACGTTTTATTCCTCCTCTAGTTCATGGATTATTGATTCAAGTGCCACGGATCACATGGCAAGATGCTCGAAAGCTTTCACGACTTACTATCCGTGCTCTGGAAAAGCTACTGTCAAAATTGTCGATGAATCCTATAGTTATAATGATGGTAAATGGTCGGTTGTAGTAACGACCGGTCTAGCTCTGAAGTCTGTTTCACATGTTCCCTGTTGCAATGTTACTTATTATTTGTCAACAAGTTGACAAATGATATTGATTACGTTACTAATTTCTCTTATGATGTTAGTGTTTTTCCGGATCATTGTTCACAGAGAATGATTGGAACTGTTAAAATGATAGCTGCACTCTACTACTTCCAAGTGAAAAGCACGGAGAGTGAGGACACACTACTCAGGAGTTGTAGAGTATCTCGATTCATCAAATATTGCATTGTTGCATTGTCTTTTGGGTTATCCTAGTTTTCAATATTTAAAAAACTAATATCCTTTGATGTTTTCTAAAAAAACTTTCCTAACTTCAATTGTGAAACATGTCGGTTAGTCAAGCATGATTGGACCCATTACCCGCCCCACATTTGCACACCTTCCGCTACTTTCTTCCTCATTCAGAGTGACATATCGGGACCCTCTCGCATTTTCAGGTACCTCAATAAACGGTGGTTTCTGACTTTAATTGATGCCCACATTGGAATGATGTAGGTCTACATTTTAAAAGACAAATCGGAGGTTGTTGTCGCCTTCCAAAACATCTACACATTTGTTTTAACTCAATTCAAAACTCCAATTAAGGTTCTTCAGACCGAAAATAATCGTGAGTCTTTCAACTCTATTTTGAGTAAATTCATGGTGAAATAATCAATTTTTGAGAAATCGGATAACTTTTTTTTTACGACAGACAAAGTACCTCGAAGTTTTCATATCCCAGAATTTGATCGAAAGACACAAGAAATTGATCAAATTCCATAAAGCGTTGTATGTAAATTAAGACGGATTGAGAGATATAAAATTTGAAAGCTATAAGTTTTATTAAATTAATTAACCTAATTCATGCCTATGTAATTATCCCTTAATCCTCAAATCCATTGTTCACAACCGACCCCCACGCATTTTAATCTCGTTGTTCGGTCGCTTAAGGCTGCTAATAAGATTCAAAGTACTTCCCTTCTCTCCCAAATTCTTCTCCTCTACCCCTCCTCTCTCGCGACCACTCCCTGTTCTTTCCACTCGCGGCCAGCAAAGCAGCAAGCCTTGCTACAATGTAAGGGCCACGATCAGAGACAAATCGAGCAGCCCTGGGAAAACCGCAACCTGCAATTTAGGGCTCTGTGGCAATTTTTGTAAGCATAAATCCCTCTTTCACGATATTTGAAGCTTTCTTTTTCTTCCTCACCCTTTGATTTTGACTTTTTGCCATTTTTCATGTATTTTTCCTTTTCTGTAGCCATCAGAGGCGCTGATTGTGTGTCCGAAGTATCAAAATTCTTTTGTGAGCTTCCATAAGATTTCTAGGCGATATCAATGTAGGAGAGGTGTGGTTGGAGTTGATAAAAAGTAAATTTGGCAGCTTTGTAAAGATGGATTTGTGTTGATAAGCCTATTTTGAGGTAAGAATGTTAGAGGTAAGAATGTTACTTTTTGGGTTTAATTACTTTATGAGCCGAAAATGTATAAAATTTTAAGATATTTATAGGTTTCATGTTATTTACCTGAGGCGACAAATTTGAGGCAAGCGTATAGAAGATCGCCATAGGACAGCTCCAGAAATTTCAAATAAAGAATCCTATGGTAATTTCAAAAGAATAATTGCATTTATGAAAATCACTTAAATCTTAAAATTTAATATGATATTTTATAAATTATTGAGCTCAATATAAAAATCACCGCAACTGCCAGCTAACTATTGAATATTAAAGCTTTAGCATGACAACTAAAGTGAGTAATTATATTTTTAAATTTTAGTAATTATCTTTATTTCAAAAGGTATGTTGATTTACATGTATACTTTAGTTCAATTAGATTTATATTGCAGTAAAGTCTTCATATTGTTAGATAGAAAAATTATGTATGACTGGAAAATTATAAAAGATGTGCATGATATGCATGATATTTAGATAGATATTATATGTAAAATATACACTAAGATAGATATGTTGAAAATATAAGCATGATATAAGAGATGCATGGGATAGATATATGAATGATGTAAAAGGTATGAATGATGAATAATTGCACAATAGAAAAATATGCATGTTAGTAAATTGCATAGAAATATTTTAGAATAATGTATGTATGAAGAATGAAATAACTTATATATGAATGCTTGTATATATTTGTTTAGAATAGGATTTCACTCATTAATGGTAAAGACAAGGGACACTAGTAATCCAGCGTTCGTATTGTTTTTCTACCA